AAACCAAATGAGGATGGGAGCAAGGAGGGAAGGGAAGTCTTTAGGGAAGTGACATGATTCAATTTGTCTTGATCGCTCTGGCTCAAGTACAGAGAATGGATTGGGATAGCCTTGGAGACAGCAGGAGAGTTAAGATCTGCTGCAATAAAAAACACAAGAGAAGATAAGCTTCTTACCTGGGATAATGTCAGGGAAATGTGGAGACAAGGATGGAGTTGAGAGCCACACCTGAGTTTGTCAGCAACACTTGTTGACCAGATAGAAAGGAATGGGGATGGAAGGACACAGATTCCATTTTGAACACACAGGGTCTGAATTGCCTGTGACCACAAAAGTGGACCTTCGCAGTGGTCAGAGTATTAGGAAAGAATATTCTTGAGCCCTGCCCTATCCTATTGCATGGGAATTGCTGAATGGCATCTGCAAAGATATACAAAGAAGAGAGAAAAAAGGGCAGACTTAAGTGGCAAGTCCAGAGATGGAGGAGTAGAGTGTGGGGAGATGAGGTTGGGCAACTAAGGGGTTGCCTAAGAAGCTCGCCAGATAAATAAAAGCCTTGGGCCAGTAAGATGGCTCAGTGAGTGAAGGTGTTTGCTGCCAAACCTGATGACCTGAGTTTGAGCCACAGAACCCGCATGGACGAAGGAAAGAACCAACTCCCACAAATTGTACTCTGACTTCTACACACAGTCTATAGCATGTATGTGTTCACACACACACACACACACACACGCATACAAACACACAATAAATAAATGCATAAATGTAATCATTTTTAAAAAAAGAATTTGAAAAGCCTTGTGTCATGTTAAGATTTTGGATAATATATTTAAGGCATTTTTAGCAGGGGAAAAGATAGAATCGTTTACATGGATCTAGAGGAGAGTCCAGAAGAGAAACCAAAGGTTTAATACTAGGCATAATGATTAGATTAGGAGTGGGAGCATTGTGGGAGAGCTCTGAAACAGGGCATCAATAGGGACTTGGAGATAAGAGCAGAAGATGAGGCGAGTCTGGAGGCTTTTCCAGCACAGCCTCAGGACACCACTGATGCTTATATTCACTGCAAGTAGATGTAGCACCCCCCTCCCCATTAGAAACATCAGTTAGCTGTGGAAGGGCCTGGGCAACTGCAGTGGACTCAAAGACTTGGGCCTCCAAGTCAGCTGGAAGTCTACACCCCTCAGACTCTGGCATCTTCCACCCCATCTCTCACTCCCAGCATCTTACCCCACTGCCCTGATTCGAGATCAGTTCAGGGGCCTGGTGAGGTGCTAAGAGTCAAGCTGTGGGGACACACTGAGGGCTACAGTCTACCGGGGTTCTAGAAAGAATTAGAACAATCTGGCATGTACTCTTGGCTCCAGGCAAACAGAATTGCTTACCAGTTCCTACCTGATCCAGTAATATACCCGACTCCAAGTCTTTGTTTTGAGGGTGAGATTATTTGTTTTGAGACAGGGTCATACTGTGCATCCCTGGCTGGCCTGGTAATTGCTGTGTAGAACAGGCTGGCCTTGAACCTGAGTGATCCTCCTGCCTCTGCCTCCTAAAAGCTGAATAACAGGCATGTACCACCATACCCTGCTCCCAGCCTTTGCTCACGCTGTTCTTTCACCGCTGTGCCAATCCCCTGCCCCTTCTCCCTACTTCTTCCCTGAGCATCTGCAGTCTGTACCGCCTCTCTGCATTTCCCCTGCATTTTACCACCACTCTTCATTTTCCTTATCAAGGCTTAGATGGTATTATAGCTCTCTGTAATTTATCTTTTCTGTGGTTGAAAGTTCCCAGAAAACAGAGTCCCTGTCTCTGTCACATTTGAGTCCCACAGTACACACAGCATGAAGGAGGAATGTAGTACAACAATTGTATACAGAAAGGAAGAATAAAAGAGGGGTGTGGTGACACCCCTCTAGTCCCAGCACTCAGAGGCAGATGCAGGATTACCACAGGTTTGATGCCTACCTGCCTAGTGTACATAGTTCCAGGCCAGCCAAAGCTCCATAGTGAGATCTTGGCCCAAAAGGCCAAACGAGTAAATAAATAATAAAAATACATGCATCCTAATCTAAAGATCCAAAATTTGAAAGTAACAAACAAAATTCATATTTATTTATTCATTTATTCATTTAATTTGTATACGTGTCACAGCACACACGTGGAGGTCAGAGATGACTTGCCGGAGTCAGTATACTCCTTCCACCGTGTGGGTTCTGGGGACTGAATTTGGATCATCAGGCTTAGTGAAATGTGAAACTTTTTTTTTTAATATTTTATTTATTATTTTTATTTTATGTGTATGAGTGAGTGTATTACTTGCATGTAGGTAGGTGCACCTCCATGCAATGCCTACAGAAGACAGAAGAGGGCATTGGATCTCCTGAAACTGGAGATGGTTGTAAGAGGGCTTCAGATTCCCCTAGAACTGGAGTTAAGGATGGTTTGTAGCTGCCATGTAGGTGCTGGGAATCAAACCCGGGTCCTCTGTAAGAGCAGTCAGTGCTTGTAACTGCTGAGTCATCTCTCCAGCCCCAAAATTTTATTTATTATTTTTATTTTATGTGTATGTGTGTATCGCCTGCATGTAGGTAAGTGCACCCATGACGTGCAATGCCCGCAAAGGTCAGAAGAGGTTGTTGAATCCCCTGGGACTGGAGTTATGGACACTTGTTAGTCGCCATATGGGTACTGGGATTTGAACCCGGGTCTTCTGCAAGAACAGCCAGTGCCCTTAACCACTGAGCCATCTCTCCAGCCCAAAATGTGAAACTTTTTAAGAGTGGTGCTGCAAGTAGAAAACTCTATATCCATCCTCATGAGCTCCTATGATGAGCTGTGATCAAGTTGTATCATCTTTAATATCTGTGTAGAAGGCATATCTGAAACGTAAAGTGAATTTGTGTTTAGTCTTTTAGTCACCAAAACTAGTGAGAAAGGGGAGGAGAGAGAGCTGAAACATTTCCAGTCCAAGCGTTCTGAACAAGATATACCCAACCTGATTTAACATCCACATATTACTACTAAAGCTAATATTTCAGAATAGTATGAAAAACATCAATGACATTAATTTCAATTTTTTTTCAAAATTTGAGAACAACTATAAACCACCTATGGATAGCTTTAAAATATAAAATGGTTTGGTCTCCCAGGTTTTAAGGTCAACCTTCATGAGCCATGAAGCAGCGAGGGGTTTGGATGAAGGACAGCTGTGCCTAGCTGCTTTTGACTATCTCAACCCACTGTCCCAACGCCCACAGGTTGACTCCCTTGCTGTCGTCTTGTGGGGGAGATGGCCTACTTTCATAAAGAGCTCTGAGTCATTGCAGTCTACTAAATCTTGGATCAGGATTCAGGAAGGCCACACCACACCTTGGCATAGGATTATATTGAAGAGATTAATTATCTGTTTCAATTTTGTTGTGGTGTGGTTTTTTTACACTTACTTTTTATTTCATGGATCTGCACATGTCAGAGGCATGCATGTAGAAGTCAGAGGACAACTTTTGAGAGTTGGTTCCCTCCTTTTACCATGTGGGTCCCAGGAACGAAACTCAGGTTATCAGGCTTGGAAGCAAGTGCCTTTCGTTGAGTCATCTCACTAGCTTCTGTCTCAATTTTGGACTTGGGAATCGCAGAGTTTTCACTTTCTCGTTGAATCGAGAGAATCGATGTAAACAAGAAAAGCATACTGCTTGCCTCCAAAATAATTTCATGTTAAGTCAGGTATCTTTATAATCACCCTGAAGCAACTTTGATAGAGTTTGCTTTTTAAAGAATTTTCTTATGGAGACTAGAGAGATGGCTCAGTGGTGAAGAGCACTGGCTGCCCTTGCAGAGGACCCAGGTTCAGTTCCCAGCACCCACATGGTGGCTAACAACCATCTGTAACTCCAGTTCCAGGGAATCTGATGCCCTCTCTTGACCTCCTCAGGCATTGCATAACACAGGTACACTTACCTACATGCAGGCAATACACTCATACACATAAATAAAAATAACAAGTAAAATATTTTTAAAAGAATTCTCTTATGGACTAATTCTGGTCCCAACTTAATTGTTCTTTAAAATATAAATGCCCAGCCAGGTATGGTGGTGCACACCTGTAGTCCCAGCACTTGGGAGGCAGAGGCAGGTGGATCTCTGTGAGTTCAAGGCCAACCTAGTCTACATAGAGAGTTCCAGGCCAGCCCAGGTTAGCTGGGACTATAGGGAGACCCTGTCTCAATATCCCCAGAAACATAAAATGTTTCCAGTGCATGGAGAGTTCATATACTCTGTTGGTTAAGGGTGACTATAGATTTGTACACGGCCCTTATCCTCGTGCCCAGCTCATAGCCCAGACTCCCACTGCTCCTTGAACCATATGTTCCAACTTTCCTGTACTTTATCTGCTTGTCTGTAAGTTGGGAGCAGCCCATGATACCCACCTCAAAGGCGTGAGGTGTCTAATTGAGGTCAGTGACCGTCACGTATTAAACACTTAGCAGTCATGAGCAGTTTGTTATACATTGTTAATGCTGTGCTCAAATGCAAATCCACTATTATGCCATTCCTTGGATCCTAGAGCAGCAAAGACGTAAACATTAGTTCAAACCAATCATAGGAAAAGTTTTCTGAAATTTCATTCCACGACTGTGCTGGATAGCTTTAGTGTCAACTTGACACACCTGGGTTGAGGGAGCCTCAATCGGGGAATTGCCTCTATTGGACTGGCCTGTGGCCATGTCTGAAGGGCATCTTCTTGATGAGTGATGTGGGAGTGGGAGTTGTAAGACAAATAAACCCTTTCCTCCCCAAGTTGGTACTGGTCAGAGTGTATTGTCACAGCAATGAAGAAACAAACTAAGACAACGACACACTAGCCTAGATGTATCTTCCTACAGAGCATTAGAAACATCATCTTCTCTTGATAGCAATGTATAATGGTAATTGTGCTGTTCATCTTTCCTACTGGTGAAAGCTAGGCTCTTCAAAGAAATGATTTCAAATTCTTCCCACAGATGTGATGGCCATGGAGGACCTCCTGTGTCTATGAAGGGACCAACTGCGGTAAGTAGCAGAGCACTGAAGGCAGTACTAAGAAACCCAGCCTCTATTAATCCAGGCTGGAGGCCTGTTTGAATTGGATACTCCTTGGCTCAGCTTTCAATCCAGAAGCTCAGATTTCTCCCAGAGAGCCCAGTGCTGGATTTCCAGCTGGTTCTGGTACCAGAAGGTTCACACACCAGCCTGTACCAGGAAGCAGTAGGCTCTCATGTTCACACTCATGTCATAGCTAGATCCTTTGCCATCAACCACTTGTCACTCCTGCACAGTCCTAAATAGGTGGATGTGGAGTGAGGTATAAGGCAGTCATAGTCAGGTTTGACAAGCTGGCATAAGTTTCCACTGAACTGTCAGTATGGACATCATGTCTATTCAAAGGGGAAACCGCTGGGATTTGAGGTATGCTTGCCTAGAGCAAGTTCACAGGAGGAGCTCAACCCTACAGGACCCCTCACTCCACCAAAAGCTGAGATTTAAATTCTCCACTGTGTGCTCACGAAGTTGAGAAGTTTCAAAGTGTTCTCCTTCTGGGTTATATTTTGCACTCTGTATACCTATGACTTTATAACTCATGTGCTTTGTAAATAAAAGGTAGACTTTGGAGGGGGCTGCTAAGATTGTAGGAAGAGGGCAGAGGCAATTTTCAAGTTATTGTCCCCTTAGCACTGGGATGCCCACCCCCTACAAAAACCAGGAGGTTGAATTCTGATGAGTCATGAACATAAACAGAGGTTCATTTGGGTTAAAGAAAAAAAAGTGAACCCCCCCCATTAAGTCAGTGCTGGAGAGATGGCTCAGTGGGTAAAGACCTTGTCACTTAAGCCAGATCACCTAAGTTTAGATCCCCAGAACTCACGTAGACAGCAGATGCAAAAGCACAATATGACTGTAACCCTAGCACACCCTAGTGGGAGATGAGAGAGACAGGGACATCACCAACCCTGCAGAAGCTCACAGGACAGCTAGGCTGACATATGCAGGAGTGAACAAGAGAGGCCCTGTCCCAAAGAAGGTAAGGACTGACACTTGGCTGTCCTCTGACCTCCACACAGTGTGCTGTGGCACTCATGCATGTACACACACACACACACTCACACACTCACACACACACACACTCACACACACACACATACACGCACACACACACACACACACAGACACACTCACACACACATACACACACATACACGCACAACACACACTCACACACACACACTCACACACACTCACACACACACACACTCACACACACACACTCACACACACTCACACACACACACACTCACACACACACACTCACACACACTCACACACACACACACTCACACACACACACTCACACACACTCACACACACACACACTCACACACACACACTCACACACACTCACACACACACACACACACTCACACACACACACACACACACACACAGCCAGGTGTGGTGGTGTGCACTTGTAATTCCAGTCCTGGGGAAGAGAAGACAGGCAGATCCCTGGGGTTTACAGGCCAGCCAGCCCAGCCTACTTAGCTTCAGAGATTATCATTGATTATTGTCACAGATGTTTTCATTTAAAACCCAGAGAAAATCTAGGAACTAGGTACTACTACTGTCCCCACTTTAAAGATGAGAAAAGTGGGCCTGGAAAGATGACTCAGTGATTAAGAGCACTGGATGCTCCTGTTAGGTCCCCCACACCCACATGACATCTAACAACTGTCAGTAACTCCAGTGCTAGGAATCCTGTCACCCTCTTCTGGCCTTTGTAGGCATTGCATGCCTGGGTGCACTTACATATGCACAGGCAAAACACTCATACACATAAAATAAAAAAGATATTTTTAGAAGATGAGAAAAGTAAAGTTTAGAGAATTTCAACAGCATGCTCAGGGTCACACTGGTAAATGGTAGAGTTCAATTAGAAAGGCTGCATCTCTGGAACTTCTCGGCTAGAAGTCAGTCGTGCCAAGAGCTGGACAGCTCTGAAGCCCTGTGTGCATATGGAGCCCAGTGAACTGGACCTGGAGGGACTCTACCCTCACTGAGCTGTGGATTGAAATGGCCTGTCCTCTGTCTCCAGAAGACAGAGCCCTGGTCCAAAATGCCTCTGTGCTCTCAATGTTCCTGGAGAGATGTTTGAGCATCCTCTGTTGTTTAGGAGTCTTGGGATATGAAGGAGATGCAGAATTTGTAGAAAAAGAAACACAGAGTTATAAAATGGTAGAGCTAATGTGGTATTCTGAGAATTTGAAACTCCTGTCTGAGGATCAGCAGGTATTTATCTTTGACATTCCTGGGTACTACATTCAATGAACCATTTCACAGCTCAGAGCATGTCGATCTAGAGGGAAGAGCTGGGAAAGTAAGAGAACCAAGCCCATGAACATGGTTCTCGGTTAACACCAATGACAAAGAGGAAAAGCACGGAAGTACTGTCTATCACAAGAACTCTATGCAGATTTGCATAATTTAGTTTAGGAGGCTCTGTCCCGTTAGCCTCCAGAGGGCTGGAAGTTGACCACGGAGGCCACAGGGATTCTCACCAAGATCTGAGAGGACAAGATTCCCCATCAATTGATTGTGATGCCAGGCAGGAATGATACATGGAAGTATCAGTATTTCTTGAGAGGTTCACAACATGATTGAATGACTTTCCTCTCAGAAGAGAAAGCAGATGCTACTTAAACATTTGAAAGAGCTTAAAAGAAGCAAAGCATTACAGAAACATTGGAATGTAGGTGCTAGGTGGAAACTTGGAGATCATCTAGCCCAGGAGTCTCCTCAAACGTGGCACCATGGACATTTCCCACTGAATGATGCTCTGCAGAGGGGGCTGTCTGGTGTACCACAGGATGTCAGGCAGCATTCCTTGCCTCTGCCTATAGGATGTCAGTAACTCTCCTCCATCAAGTTGTAACAAAGACATCTCTAGACATTGCCAGACATTCCCTATGGAATATGTAGCCTGTAGTTGAAAACAATTTCTTGACAAGAGGAATATCTATAGTTAAAGCCCACCTTCAAGAACAGAGGCAAGGAGACAGAGCTGTAGCTCAGTTGCTAGAGTGCTTGCCTAGCAAGCACAAAGCCCTGGGTTCAATCCCCAGTATCCCATAAACCAGGCATGGTGGTGCACCAATAACCTAAGCATTTGGGTGGTAAGGCAGGAAGATTAGAAGTTCAAGGTCAATTTCAGCTATATATACCTAGCAACTTCAAGGCCAGCCTGAGATATACAAGACCCCATCTACACACACACATATACACACACATATACACACACACACACACACACACACACACACACACACACACAGAGAGAGGCCAGACAAGCTCATCATGTAGTGAGTGGTGCATTCCTGTAATCGCAACACTTGGAAGATAGAGGCAGGAAGATCAGGCATTTACAACAGCCTCTGTAACATAGCAAGTTCAAGGCCAGCCTGAGCTACATGAATCTCTGTCTCAAAAAAAAAAAAAAAGAGAGAGAGAGACAAACTATATGGCTTGGGCCACTTAGTTACTCTTAGTCTCTCTGAACACAGTCTAGCTTGGTTTACGATCACTAGCATTGTAAATGGGTGGGGGGGGCACATGGGCAGCTGGAGTTGGGGAGGAAACACCTCCAATGTGGCAATTACCAAAGAGTGTCACACTTGCCTTTCTGTCCCTCCCTGGTATAACTATGTGCGAGTACCTGGAAGACGAAATGAACACATGGTTTTTAAGCCACAAAGCACAAGCATATTGGTGAATGTGATCTCGGCACGAAAACAGATCTGGGAGCGCCTTGAAAAATTAATTTGTTGACTTTACCAAAGCATCTGATAATATCAGGTAGCGTGGGTCTAAGCTCTGACAGCTGCTCTACAGGTTTGGCTGCCATAGGAAGTTCTCAAATGTTCTAAGGTTACCCTCTGACAGAAGCTTTGTTTGTCTAGTCCTGTCAGCATCACAGACAGTATCAGCAGAATGAATTGTAGTTGTGTAAAAGGCCCTGTTTTACTCAGTCTCATTTATGTTTCATGTTCAGCATATAACTGAGCTCCTGAAAGATAGTGTCTTAAGGTCCTGGCCTTTTAACATGTTCTGTGGGACATCTGCCTAGCTTACTAATCTCTTAAGAGTCCTCCAGAAAATTCTCCATAACCTCAAAGAATGGAACCAGTGAACAGTAAAAACTTACTACTGGCTACATGCTCAGAGTTGTACAGCTGTTAATTTATTTAGTCCTCCAGCAACCCAGAGAGGAAGCTTTGCTTGATGTTAGTTTCATTTCACCAACAAAGTCACTAAGCTACAGGGAGGTTAAATAACATGCCCAGAGCCACGTACACATTCATGGGCAGAGCCGGGCCTCAGCTGTGTAGCATGTATGTGTAACCACTCTGCTGTCCTGTCTCTGCATGCTTTTCTGAGTTCTATATAGTAAATCCTCAGTATCTCAGTTTCCGTCATAATCTTTAGCAGTAATTTTCCTTATGTGGTTTTCTACTTTGGCATATGTTAAATCAGCTCTTAACTCTGAGCAGTGTTACTCCACGTACAGCAGGGAGTGTTTAAAGCAATGTCAGTGTTCTCAGACAGATTGCTGCCCAGCTAAAGACACATGCATTAGTAAAATAGTCGATAAAACCAACACAGCAGAAAGAGCAGGATTTGGGATGAGGTCACACAAGGGTGAATAACCAGCACCACTGTATATTGCTCGTGTGGTGTAAGGAAGATGCTTACTGAAGCTCAGTTTTCTCATCTACAAAATGGAGCTGATAAATCCCTATCTAATTCATCAATTTGTTGTAAGGATCCAACAAGAGGGATTTTAAAAAGAATAGTAGTAAAAAGTGAATGAGGACCAGTGAGATGACTCAGCAGCTAAGGGAGGCACAGTGACAGAAAGAAAACATGGTGAGCTTCCAGTTCGGTTCGAGACCCTGTCTCAAGAGACCAAGGTGGAAAGTGGTAGAGGAAGACATTTCCTATCCTCTTCTGACCTTGGCATGTGCCTGCATAGGTGAATACACCTGCACACACGCGTCCACCTCATGCATACACTACACCCCCACACACATACAGACACACACAATTGTTTAATGTTTTAGAGAAATCCAGCATAAAGGACTATTATTAGGGGAACAATAACTTGAGTTTGGCATTAATCCACCCCTTGCAGGCTAGACACTGTGTTGGTGTTCAGAATTCAAATGAGAATGCATTGCTTTCTTGGTGACTTCAGAGGCTAGCCACCTCCAGGATCCTGATTGGTCTGTCATCGAACCCTTGGTTCCCTAGATCAGAGAGAATGGAACTTTTAGTAGGGAGGAAGAAGAGAGAGCTAACAGCTGAGTAAAAGGGAAAGGAAGGTTTAGCATGACATAGTAGGTACGATACCAGAAGGGCATAAAAATTACGGCAGGATCAACGCTGTCCGGGAGAGGTAAGAAAGGGCTCTCATGGAGAATACAGGACCTGGACTCTGAAAGGCGAGTGGCCATTTCCAGGAGAAAAAGTAAAGAGTGGGCAAAAATCAGGAGCATGGGGACAAAGACCTAGGACTAGCTGACACTTTAAGTTCATGATCCTGTGTGTCAGAGCTTATAGCACAGGGAATCTGGACAGAAGGGAGGAAATGCTTACATTAAAAGTTGAGAATGGAGCCGAGCAAGGGAGTATAAGCCTTTAATCCCACCATTTGGGAGGCAGAGATGCATCTCTGTAAGATTGAGGCCAGCCTGGTCTACATAGTACATTCCAGGCCAGCTGAGCTACAGGGAGATCCTGTCTCAAAGAAAAAGAAAAAAAGTAAAGATGTTTGCCTACAATGCTACTGCAATTGAGCATCTAGACTATGGTGATGTAATTCAGCTGCAGGGTGACCAGCCCAAGAGCACATGCCAGCTCCTAATAGAGAATAGACTGGCAGAGGACAGTCAGCTGAAGGTTCATGGACTTTAAATGCTTGTGGCTCTCTGAAGTTTAAATGAGGATTTCCTTGAAATGGGTAGAATTTCCTTGTTGTCCCCTGTTACAAATTTAAAAACCTCACAATTTGTAGAATATAACCATTTGGGGTCTACTTTTAACTTGGACGAGCATAACTCCTTCATGCACTAAACGAAAGAGTCCCCCTGGCCCCCAAGGAAAAGTTGAGAATGGATCTTGACATGATTTCACTGAAAAGAGGTGTTTGGACTTCACCCTCTAAACCAGGGATGGAAAATAGATTTCACACTTTATGGTGACTCCACCACAAGGAGGGGAAGTATAAGTCCAAGACTGAGCCCTGACTGAAGATCAGTGTCTGCTCTGGGCCCTTGGGATCTCTGCTCTGTGTCACAGGGGACAGCAGGTACTTTACCAATGCTGTGCGGCCTGTGTTTAGCTGAAGGGAACACCTGCTACCAGGATACAGCATGCTGACAGCCCAAGGGCTGCTGAACCCTCCTAGGAACAGTGAGAGTCAGTCTGGGCTCTGCAATGAATCCTTTCCCACCCCCAGTGTGACCTAAGCAAGTGACCTGACCTCTTGAAACTTCGGTTTCCTCAAAAGAGGGACAAGAGTAGGATCAACCTCAAAGGATCGTTAAAAGAATCAGAAAAAGTCCCATTTGAAGCCCTTCACATATTGGCTACAATAATCAATGTTTAGTTGCTGTTGCTAAGAAAAAGACTATTACTATCTCATTAACTGCTGAGCTATAATGACGCCCATTTTCTTTATACCTAGTACCAACCATTAACCAGCTCTAGGATTAAAACTGAGTCAGTAAAATACTGATATTTTTCTTAGTTCCTTACTATACTTTAAGGTGAAAAAAGTTAACTTTAACCAATTTTTTAAATGGTTGATTTACAATTTTCTTATTTCTAATGGGTATCTATAGTCATATTTTGATTGTTTACTTTAGACATTTATATTTATGGGACAGATGATACTCAATAACCAATAAATTATCATGGGAGTATTTCTTTCTTATTAATAAGCCCCTACTGTGCCTAGAGCTACAAACCACAAGTCAATGGAATTTGGTCAGGCTTCTGGGAGAAATGGAGGTATGAGGGAATAAGACAGCCTGGACATTAGACCTGCAATGAAAGAGTTTAAAAATCTTAGGGCTGGAGCGATGGCTCAGCAGTTAAGGGAACTGGCTATCCTTGTAGAGGACCCAGGTTTGGTTCCCAGCACCCTCATGATGGTTCACAACCTTCTGTAACTCCAATTCTAGGGAATCCAATGCCATCTACCAGCCTCTGCGTGTACCAGGCATGCACATGGTACACATCCATACATGCAGGCAAAACACACAAATAAAAAAAATTAGAGCTTTGGAAAGATTAGGCATTTGGCATTAGGCTTTAGAGATGAGAAGTAAGGGGAATTATGAAGTAAAAAGATGACCCAGGGTGGGGTGGGGTGGGCAGAGCGACTCAAGAGGCAAGGACAGGGTAGCAGACTGAGGTGAAATTAAAGAGATGTGAAGGGAAAGCAGCTCCCAGCTCTGCTCAGAACCTGAGCCTGATCCCAGCAGGAGGAGTCAAGGCAGAGTCATGACTGACGGAGCCAGTTTGGCTGAGGAAATACAGGTGGGGTTTTGGCACAAGAAAGTGAAGGTACAGCATGGATAATTGTCCCAAGGTTATGAAGACAAATGAAGTTTGAAAGTAGGGAACTGATTGGACTTGGTTAAATCAACATGAACATTTGTTACAGAGCTCTGTCTCTGTGTCAGTCTCCCAAATCTTTTAAAACTAGCGCTAGTTTTTTTTAAAATGATAAGATCTCACTTTTCAGTGCCTTTGTTTCAAAACTCTTAAATCAACAACTCATGGCTGTCTGAGGGGTTCTACAATTTTTTCTCTTAAAATATAATTTTGATTAGTTTTAAAATTAACATTAAAGGGGCTGGAGAGATAGCTCAACAGTTAAGAGTACTGGCTGTTCTTTCAGAGGACCTGGGTTTGAGTCCCAGCACCCACATGGTGGCTAACAACCATCTATAACTCCAGTTCTAGGGGATCTGGTGCTCTCTTCTGTCATTCCTGGAGCACTGTATGACATGGGTGCACTTACATACATGCAGGCATAACACTCATACATATTAAATAAAAATAAATAAAAGTTAACATTAAAAGTCAGCATTTTCATATTGTTTTTGTTGATCCTTCTCCCTTTGCCCTCACTTCCTCTGTCCACTGGTCCCCTTCCCATCCCAGTAGAGCCCTCTGCTCTCATGTCACTTGTATTCTGTTAATCTATTTAACCTGTCTGTTCTACCACTCAATGGATAGATACACTGTCTTTTCCTAAGTCCCTCCAGCTCACAAAACTTACGGTCCACCAGGAACTTCAGCTAACAGGCTCATAATAGAATATGCACAGTGTTTAGAAATCTAAAACCCCGGACACTGGCGCCACAGATACAATACTCCCAACTTGAGGAAAGTTCATTTCCTGATTGCCAGGTATCACCCTCTTCCCGTAAGACTTATGTAATTGTGTGAGAGGCCGTGTCTGCCTGAGCATTATAATGAAAAGAATTGACATTCATATGAATATGTGTGTATGGAGCATGCCTATGAATGTGTATAGGAGTGTGCATATGAATGTGTGTGTAATGTGCTTAATGTGTGTGTAGGAAGTGTGTCTATGATTGTGTATGTAGTGTGCATATGAATGTGTAGGAAGCATGTATATGAATGTGTATATGAAGTGTGCATATGAATGTGTGTGTAGTGTACTTATGAATGTATGTAGGGAGTGTGCATATGAATGTATGTGTAGTCCTCATATGAATGTGTATGTAGGGAGTGTGCATATGAATATGTGTGTATAGTGTGCTTAATAATGTGTGTATAAGGAGTGTTCATATGAATGTGTGTAGTGTTCTTATGAATATGTGTATAGTGTGCATATGAATGTGTGTATGGAGTATGCATATGAAGGTATGTGTAGTGTGCTTATGAATGTGTGTAGGAAGTGTACATATGAATGTGTGTGAAATTGATTAGTGGTTCTTGGACTAGGTCTCAAGCCATCAACATTTTTATGGACTGTGTGAGCATTTTAGCTTTAGAGAAGGTCTGAAAGAATTTTGTATTTTTTACTTTAAAATTGACAGGCAAAACCATACGATTCACCTGTGAGGAGTCAACTGGTTGCCAGTGTGTCTGTTCCCAAACCAGCCATCATGAGGGAGGAAAGTGGCATGCCTCCCCCCTGGGATGCGTCCATGCTGGAGAATGAGTTCTTCCAAGGTGAGTCTATGCATCAAATTGCCTTTGGAACTCCAGGCACTAAAGAGAAGCAGATGATTGTAGATTGTATTAAAATGCTCTAAACAAGTCAGCTCTGAACTTAATTCCTCACATGTCCTGTTTGCCTGATTGAAGAAGCTCCTCAGATAACCTATGAGCCCAGATTGTGAAGAATCTTATGATTAAATACAATGTAGGCAAATATTCTGTGATCAAAGACCGGCACATATCAGATAGTAATAATGTTTACTGTTTAACCTCAGGTTAAAAGGAAGCACATCTACAAAGTTTGCAGTAAGAGACTTTTATTGTTCCTGATTAGGGCATAAATGCACCGTGGTGAAATCTAATAGTCGTTAACCAACTAACCTGTGTTGTAGATAATGATAAAAAGCTGATCCAGATTCCGAAAGTGAGGCACGCTCATGCACCTTATTGTTTAATCACAGTTCGCCTTGTATGGGTTATTCCATATCAAAGCAAGCCTTGTTATTAGTTAGAAGAGTCAACTCCAAAGTCATTTACCAGCTCCACTTTGTAAATTCTGTTTGCAGTAGGAACAACATTGCCTTATTCTTTAGCATGGGTCAAGTGGTACCCAGTGAGGACCTTCAGCCAGGCACTCAATCTAGGGACACTCTACAGCAAGATGATCCCGATTAGGGACCCAGAGGAAAATCTAATCCAAAATGAAGCTTTGTTTGAAGAGGAGAGCTACTAGTATGGCCTCTCTGGGAAAAAAAGAAAAAGAAGCAAAATGCTAATTTCTCTGGTCTCCAGAATAGTAAGAAAAACAGTCCTGTTAATTTGGGATTCTACATACCTTTAAATAATCTTGCTATGGGATGTTCTGAGTGGCTACTCCTGGGAAGGAGTTCCATGATCTCTTTGGTATTTTTTATTCTAAATCTGTTTTTCTTTTGTAGTCAGCAAAAGACTTTAAAAAGAAGTGAGGTGGGGCTGGAGAGAAAACTCAGAGTGTCTAAGAGCCAGGGCTGCCCTTGCAGAGGAACCAGGTCTGGTTCCGAGGACCCACATGACTGCTAGTCATCCACAACTCCAGTTCCAGGAGATCTGATGCCCTCTTCTGGCCTCCACAGGCATTGCATGACACAAGTGCACTTATGTAAATGCAGGCAAACACAGAAAGAAGGGAGGAAGGAAGGGAGGGAGGGAGGAAGGGAGGAAGGAAGGAAGGAAGGAAGGAAGGAAGGGAGAGGAAAAATCATCAACAGCTCAAAGAAGAGAACAGAGATCAGAGAGTCTATTATTTTTTGTTGCTTGTTTTATTTTGTTTTGTTTTTTGGTCTTTTTGAGACAGGGTCTCCCTGTAGCCCCAATTGGCCTGGAACTCACTATGTAGACCAGGCTGACCTTGAACTCACAGAGATCTGCCTGCCTCTGCCTCCTGAGTGCTGGGATTAAAGGCACCAGCCACCATACCCAGCTCTATTATGGTTTTAATGACAGATTTTTAGCTCTATATAATCTCACTTTCTTTTCCCTGCCTTATGGTCTAACATAGCTTGATAATTTTATTGTGGATTATTTCAGTTACTATAAATAAAACAGGTTTTCATTAAAGAATTCCTTCCTTATAAATCTTAGTGGCTGTATCCACCTAAGAACTCCAAACTTACTCAACAGCTCAAAGAAGAGAACAGAGATCAGAGAGTCTATTATTTTTTGTTGTTTGTTTTATTTTGTTTTGTTTTTTGGTCTTTTTGAGAGTAGGGTAGGAAAAGTCCAGAACAGAAAAGATTCCTTTAGTTCCTGCCCAAACATAATCCGCATGTCAACTATATGTTGCAGTTACACTCAGACAATTATATGCCTCACTTTCCATAATTCTTTAGTTAAAAGATTTAAATAGCTGGGTACTGGGTATGGTAGCACATTCCTTGAACCCTAGCACTCAGAGAGGGAGGACAGAAGCAGGAAGATTTCTGAGTTTGAGGCCAGCCTGGTCTACATAGCAAGTTCTAAGCCACCAGGGCTACATACTGAGATCCTATCACACACACAAAAAAAATTAAATAGCAAATAATTTAAAATAACTAGAGTGTACCATTTTATATAATCAGAAGATTTCTAAGAACCCTAAACTTCTGCAGCATTTCAGATAATACTTATTTGTCAGATTTTATTTTTATTAGTGAACATTTCATTAATAAATACATAATTGATTTGTATTTATTATAAGGTGAATAGAAGTATATGTATTATAAAGGTGGTCTTAGAAAATCTAAAAACCATATAGAAATAGTTCTGTTAACATCCTGTTTTAATTGAGGAAAATATATTCAATGCAGTTCAATAAATACAATCAAAGGAATGCCAATAGTAACTCTGAAGACGTATGGTGATCTGTCTAAGGTTGCAAAGACTGTGGCACTCAGGGTCATGAGCCCTGGGATCTGAGCTTGGCCTTGGTCCTTGGAATTGTAGAGAGGTCACCAGGCCCTGACTTGCATGTCCCTCTTTTGTACCTTGCTCCTGAGCTAGAAGTCAGCATTGTTTAACAGCAGCAGTTTTGTGTCCTCCAGAGCTATGGCTCATCCGCATGGCTTGGCATTTGTGTAAGTGATCTCAAGAGACAGAGCACTTGGGTTCAAATCCCTGAACTGAGTGACCTGGGCAACTTAATTTTTTCAGCCTCAGTATCCTCACTATAAAATTAGAATACTATAGGATGGAGAGACAGCTCAGTGGTTTAGAGCATTGGCTGCTCTTGCAGAGGACCTGGGTACAGTTCCTAGCACTCACATGGTATCTAACAACCATCTATAACTCTAGTTCCAGGGGTTCCAATACCCTTTTCTGGTCTCTGGGCATTGCACACATGGGCAAAACAACTCAAAATAAAAATGAATAAAATGTGAAAAATGAAAATAGTAAAAATGCCATCCTTATAAGGTTATATAAAGAGTTGTTGAGTTTATCTGTTAGAACTGTGAAAATTTGTATTACAGTCAAAGGTCAGGTTATCAAAAACAATCAGAATTAATGTTGTTTATAATAATGTGACAAAAGTAAAATTATAAAAGATGATTATCAAAAGAGGATGCAAGAAGTCAAATTGTTATTAAATCATATCCAAAAGATTTAATTCCTATCCTCCTTTAGTCTTAGATGACCTGGATAGTAAGCTGGCTCAGGAGCAATCTGCAAGCTCGGTGAATCCCAGAATGCCCTTCCACTACAGATCAAGAACACAGCTCAACCGTTCTTACTCCAGCGAGAGCAGGCGTGGTAATATCACTCAAAGGCACAAAAACCACTGCAATGAAACTTCCATCTTGTCCATCTATGACATCCTGAGACCAGGAACACCTAGAGAGGGTTTTAAAACCTTTTCTCCTAGGACAAAAACAATTTATGATATGTACAGGTCAAGGGAGCCCAGAGTTGTAAAAGAAGATTTCATACAAAAGAATACATTTGGCAGTGCTTCTCTGTGCATTGACAGCCAGCAGAGAACAGCCTCACCAGCCGCGGGACGCTTCACCGTAAGGAGCTTACACTTTCCAGCCACTCAGAACAAGAGTAGTTTTACACCAGCAAGCCGCAAGCAAAGCCCAAAAAGAACTCCTTTGTCATCCATCATATGGAACAGATCAGATTATTCTAGAGAAAGACAGAAGCAGGAAGAATTCCTGGGGGCGCCATCACCAATGGACATTGACCCTGCTGACCAGTACATGTATTCTCAGTGTTTTCAGGAGAGGAAATACAAATTGTACCATTCACAGAATGCTTACCAAGGCACACGTTTAAACATCCCCATGGATAATGCAATGAGTTGTGACACACTGGAGAACTCCGAGAATATGCCGTTCTACCATCAGGACAACCCATTTGCAAGCTCTTTCTTCAACAATCCCTTTAGACGAAACAGGGAGCAGAGATTTGGACACAGTTCTTTTTGGCATCAACAAGAAGAATGTTCTTGGTCTGACTTTCCTCAGAGTAGGAAACCATTCACTTCTTCTGACAGAGACTTTGGCATGATTTCCATTGAAGCAAACAGTGAAGCATCTGTTCAAGGCCCTGGTGTCCCTTCTCAATACTGGGGGCCATTTTCTCCTTGTTACGGAACAAATGTTTTCAGAGGCCAAGGAGATCCACATCACTGGTGGTCTGATTTTCAGACATCCCCACCGGAGAGAATGGATATGTCCCATGTTAATGAGAACCAATCTCCACCCCATTTTGGCACACCAGATGTTTTTCCCATGACGGCTCCAAGCTGCCACAGCCACTCTGCTGGGCTGGAATCTCCGCAGGGCCGCTCTCCTGTAGAAGTAGCCATGAACGAGGGGCCTCACTTGTTTGCCAATGCTCAGCCTCTACTATCCTCATTCAGAGCTTCCTTCCCTCAGATTCCTGATGACAGAGGAAATTCTCAGGGTCTCAACTTCCAGAATGCCACAGTTTCTTTGCAGGAAACTTTTCCTAATAAGCCAGACTCTCTTCCAGTAAGAAGCTGTACAGAAGTTACTACGGTCAATAACAGTTCAACTGAATCTCTGTCTCATACTGAAGCTCAACTCAACTTCCAAGTCACAGAAATGAATAATGAGAAAGACATGAGTGACTTTATTTCAGAAGACAAACAACTCAACAAGATGGACCAGAAAAACAAGACAGGCGGAATACCCCAACCTGTTTTTCAGACAGAGATCTCTAACTCTTTACCTAAATTTCAAAATCCCCATTCCCAGAACACAGCACAAAATGACAGATCTGGTTTTAATGCACCTGTCACAGTAAGTTCTAAAAGGTCACCCAGAGTCTTTTCCAGAAAAGACACCTCCCAAATTTATATAACACAAAGGGATAAAACCAGTGAACTAAACAAAGGACAGTGTTTTCCTGGGAACAGGAAACTTGACTCAGAAACTTCTCTGCCTTTCCTTCAGGAAAGCAGAACACTGACATCTTTTCCCAGCCCAAATCAAGCTTGTTACCAGGAATCAACAGTACATAATGAAGACCGCTTGAACATTATTAAAAATAAGCACTGGTGCTCTGAACCTACTAATCAAGGAACACAGTCCCCTCAGAGAGAAGAGTGTCCAGCCACCAAGTCTACCAACTGCAGCAGGCTGGGTACTGGGGACAGGATCTCACAGGAGTCTTTAGGTCTGTCATCAGATGTACCCCACAGCTCTTCATCATCAAATAGTTCTTTCCTTGATGCTCTTCTGGTTCTTTCTACTACAGCATTCCCCAGAAGCCCTTCAGACAAAGAGCTATCTCTAAAACAAAGAGAAGAAAAAGACAATGCCAACGAAAACCAAAATAATCATTTTTCTGTAAACTCCTCAGAAAACCAAGAGAGCAAAGACAGTTCTGTACCTCCAGGTGAAGTGGCTGATGGTGCCCAGTGCCATCCATACTCTCCTTTCAGAAGTGGAAGGGGGACAGGAAGAGTGAGACGCCACGTATCCTGTATTGAAAAGTTAAGCAAGATGGAGAACAGGTTAGCACCCACAAATGAAGGCAGTAGCTCCACTGAGGACCAGAGCAGCTCCAGAGCTTCTGAATGCGGCTCAGTCTATTGCACCCTGCCAAGAAAATCAGCCAGTTTTCTCACATCTAACAAACAGTCAGAAAGTAAGATAACAGCTGCTCCAATTAGGAACGGGCCACTTCCATTCCAAGCACAAAGTAAAGTGGACGCTCCAATCCACAAGTGCACATCTAACAAACCAAGCCCCAGTTCTCCTCAGTCAGTGAGTGAGTGTTCCCAAATTGCTTCAGATTTGGTCCTGGGACAACCTGAGGCCACCAAGAAGATGACAAGTGTGAAAGCCATTAGATCTGCTTCTGTTAGGAAGGGACCACTCCCATTTCTCATCAAAAGGGCGATGTCATGTCCTTCAGGGGAGCCATATATCTCCTCTGAAAGAGATGAAAGAGAAAAGTCATCGGCTCTAGACACAGATGCTTCTGCTGTAATGCCCAAGTCTTGGGAGAAAATCTTTAACCCTGTAAAAAGTGACTCATCACTTACAGAGTTCACTTTAGCCAAAAGACGTCATCAAAAGGAATTTTCCCAAGAATGTATCAGAAAGGATGCTGAGACCACGGCCCCCAGCATAAGCTCCTTTACCCCTTTAAAGGAAGACCCTGTACCTTTTTGTGCAGACGTGTCAGGAAAAGAAACTAAGAAAGCATTACATAAACTTAAGACTACTAGTATGTTCTCTGTTTCTGGTGATGAAGAGAATATAAAATGTCTTGAGGTGGTTTCGATATATTATACTCTACCAAGGAAACCCAGCAAAAAATTCTGTAGCCTCCTTCAGCAGTTCTCACAAGACACAGATTCACTTAGAAAACCTTTTGGAGTAGAGATGGAAACATGTCTTAATGCTTTAGAGAGAGATGAACTATATTGTCCAGCACAAGAGCAGTCAACAATACCTTCACCTGGAGATCTAAAGACGCAGGTTGACTCTGCTCCAGACTGTCTTTCTCACACCACTGAGAACGTGACTGTCTCCCAATTACCAAGTAGTGGGCCCTCCAAATCCACATTAGAGGAAATGGCTTCTGTGGGGCCAGACGCTTCTCTTCGTAAAGGCAAACCTAAAACCAGGGAGATTGTCCCTGATAACTTAGCTAAAACACCTCTAGGTGATTCACAGATCAGGAAAAAGAGCGGGGGGGAATTGTCAAGTCCATCTTTACAGACTTCCTTAATGCTTCAGGAAAAATGTGTTAGAAAAGAAAAACCTAGAAACAGTCTACGGTCTGCTAACAGAGTAAGCAGTGCTTCCTCTGGCCTTCCAGCCCACTCAGAAAGTAATGTTGAAAAGTGCCAAACCAAAACAAATTGTGAGGCATGTGCAAGTGGTGCATCAACAGCAAGGGGAAAGTGTCCTTGGAGAGATCACACAGCTGTCGTGGTAGATGATAGCTCCAGTGGGTCACAGCCTAGGGAAGCCAATGGAGCAACAGGATCAAACTGCCAAAACCTGACTGAGAAAATGCTTTCTGACTCAGAAAGTGAAGCCTCTGCTCTAACCCCAGTTTTGCATAAGCTGCAGCTTGCTGAGGAGGCTGGGTTAGGTGAAGCAGATCTGCCGAATTTGCCCTCTGAACCTAGAGAATTACTTCAAAGAAGTCAGGAGATAAATACAACAGAGATTAGGAAAGTAGAAAATGAAACACAGAAGTTGATATGGGATCAAACTTTGGTACTTGATGGAAATAATAAAAATAAAACCGACTTGGATGACTTAGAAAAAAGAGAAGACAGATACTCCATTCATCACAGGGTAGCAGCCATGTCTAAAGCAAACAGAAAATTCCCAGCTAAGGATTTAAGCCCCAGAAGACACGTGGCTACTATCTTCCCCCAAAGTGAAAGCAAACGTGGCTTTGGACGTTTATCTGTTTGCAGACTGGAGTGCAACCCACTGTCCCCTGAGCTTATTCCAAAATCCACAGGATCCACAGATGAAAGCAGCCTGGTTAGTCATAGAATGAGTGTGGACAAATCCAAGAAGCTTCTCCAGGTTTCTGCAATACCCAGCAGAGAACCTTCTGGTCACCCCTGCCATCAGGAGGCTGATAACTTTTCACAGCTACATCAGGATGAATTTCACAGTGTCTCAGAATCACCACCGGAAAATGAGGACTATAAAAATAGAACAGTAGCTCAAATCTCAGAAGCAGAGTCAGGAACCCCAGCCCAGCTCACTCTCAGCACCCCCAGGGAACAAAGCTCTGACCGTCAATGGAGGCTGAGCCCTCCTTTGTCCCAAGAGCCTGCACAGAACTCTACAACAAACCTCTCACTGACCCATCAGCAGCTACAACATAGGAGTGTGTCATCTCCAGAATGGGAACACGAGCCACACCTCTATCGTTCAAAGAGTTTAAAAAACATCAATGTGCATGGTGACTTGCCACGAACAAATCATCCTTCCAAAGTCAGGGGGCGCCATTTTTCTGAAAGCACCTCTCTTGACAATGCCCTGAGTCAGCTGTCCCTTGGGGATGACTTCCCTGACAACAGTGGGTACAGTCGAAGATTCAAATCATTTTCCGAGCTTCCTTCCTCTGATGAAAGCGAAAGTTGGACTTTGCCTAGCAATAGGACAAGAACAGGTCCCAAGTCCACATCCTCTATATCCAGGCCTATTGACTACGGGATTTTTGGGAAGGAGCAACAGTTGGCTTTCTTAGAAAATGTAAAGAGGTCACTCACTCAAGGAAGATTGTGGAAGCCAAGTTTTCTCAAGAACCCTGGCTTCCTCAAAGATAATGTGCTGAACTCCTCCAACCCCTCACAGTCAGAGTTGTTCAATTCTCCTAGCTGTCAGGTGCCAGAAAGTAGCCCATTTCCGAGTGAACCACTTAATATCTATGAGGAGGACCTCGTGGAGTCAGACTGGGACACAGACACAACCACGGACGATGAATACTACCTGGATGAAAATGATAAAGAGTCTGAACTGTGAGGCTTTTGCAAAAAAAACGCAGAATATAATACATTGCACTTTTGCATTTTGCTTTTTACCAAAAGCTTCTAAATTCATAGACAGATATAAAAGATCTGGTTTGGGCAGTGTCTGCATCAAAACAGCACAGTCATGTCTTTTCCATATGTTATATGTATATAT